GAAATCACTTATGTCGAAAGGTGAAAAAAGTTTTCAACTTTCCTGATAACCTAAAGTTTCGCGATAAACAAAAATATTGCATAAAAAAAACTTTTAAGTGCTTTAAAATAATTCGAGAAAATAAAATTTCACGTTATGGTACATTTGACAGGTGCTTAGTAAGCGACGAGACTTAGTGTATGCAACTGACATAACCTATAATGCGTGACTTTAAACACCTAATAATAAAAGAATACAATAACGTTGTCTTCAAAATAAAATTTATTTTCAACAAAAAGACTCTAGATTTTACGTTTTAATATCAAATTAAATAAAAAACTTCGTAGATTAGCTAATATTTATTAATATTTATGGTGGCCGACTACTGTACCTGTTGTGGCCGCCTATTGTATCAGTGGCCGACTATAGATGTTTTCTACTTTTTGGGAAATTATTGTTATATTTCATTGCATAATGACCATTCGTTAAAGAAAATTAGCAAATTTTTATCGCAAAAGTGCCACGAACTCATAACAAATAGTGAAAACTTATAAAAGTTGACCATTTTTTGGAAAAAACTGAAATGTTCCGGTCTGTCCTTAAGTGGCCGACGACTGTATCACTTACCCTATAACATCCACAGAAATAAATAATTAAAAAGAAATTTTTTTTTTCACACTTATTGTGATTTTTAGAAATAGTTAGATTTCGAAAAGGCTTTAGATTAAAATTTAAAACATTTTAATTCCTGTGGAAAAATAAATGGGTATTTAAATATTTATTTAAAAACAAATTATTTTATTTTTAATTATGCAATTAAATTTAGAAATAATGTGAAATGTGATCAAATTGAATTTTTCTGTAACGGATTTTTTAGTCTTAAAGTTATTTTCTGCTGATAGTTTTTTAAGGATATGAAATTGAGACAAAAAACAAATAAAAAATGTTGCTAAGCAACATTTTTGATTTGTTTTTTGTCTCAATTTGATATCCTTAAAAAAAACTGTGCTAACTTTTTAAAAATTAATTATCCAGTACGAAGTCTGTCATTAGTTTCTGACAAGTTTGAAAAACTGACACAATTATAACTTTTTGGTTGGATTAACTTTTGTTGTCTTCATTTCAACTGCAAATCCTATATGAATAATAAATAGAAAATTTTCATTTTCCTAATGCCCTCATACATGGGAGTGAGTTCAATTTACCAACATGCAGATGTACAAGTGCAGCTGTATGAGTGGAATGCATATATCCACACTTGTGTATATAGTGAGTGAGAGAGAGGAGAGGAAACATGTGGGATACAGCACCAAGGTTCCAAGTATGGAATTGCTCCTGAGGGAAATAGGCAGGAACGTTTCTCTCCTTTCGCACTAAGCCAACATTGTTCTTAGAACAAGACCTAGAAACATTGTTGTTGAACCATGTAATTGCGTTAGTTCATATCTTTTTCACGCAGACCGCTGGCAAATGCGATTAAGACGAGATTGCCAGAGAAAATATAGCTCTTGGTCCACTCAATAATGAAACTAGACAACCTTCAGGAAGATCAATTCGATTTAGCGAACTAGCCACCACCACCACTACCACATAGTGCTTCATACTCTTCACTTCGAATGTAACAAGCATTAACACCATGACTCCTTTAAATTGCTTCGGAAATTAGTTTTAAATAAAAGAGTTTTCTCGAATTACTCTTCATTAGTTGGAGGGAAAATTCTCGCCCCTGCTTTTCACGTTTTTGGAATTTAGATTGTACTCTCATCTAAAGTTGTATCTTTAGGTTTATCGAGGGGAAATTTTCATCTTTTTTCTCCTTTTCGGTTAAACAGTTTTTGTTCTTTTCTTTTTTTTTTTACAGTAGATTACTTGGCTTTTTTTTTTGCTATTGATTTTAGGGGCAAAAACGTTTGACCTCAATTGTGCTTGCTTTGTCATTTCGATTTCATTCCAATTTAATGGTTCGTCGGCATTTTAATTTAGCCAGAGTTTCGTACTTCAAAAGTTGAAATATCACTCGACAATTTAGTGTGACTTTTTTAAAAAATTCAGTTGATTAGAAATGTCTAGATATCGTCTGCTGGTATTATCTAAAATTCACCGATAAAAAATATGTCAATGAATTTCAGTTTGTTTATTTAGTTAATTTGATAGATTTCTATTTGGTTGTGATTATTTATAGAAATATCGGATTAGATTCTGGCAAATTAAATTTGTCTTGGAAATTTATTTGTGACGCTCTCTGAAGAGAAGTAGCAAAGATGCAACATTTAAACGTTTTTACTTCTGTTCAATTTAAAACTAAAATCAGTTTTTGTTGTAATGAAGACTGAAACAATTTTCTTTTTGAGAAAAAGAAAGTCGATCCCCTAATTTTCATTCAAAAAATTTTGTTCTTTCGTTTTCTTGAATTAAAATTGTATTTTTAATCCAGAAAAAAATCGTTGTGTCTTCTATTTTTGAGAGTGCATTAAGAAAAAGGAAACCGAGTAAAATAATAAGATTGTTGAACCAAAAGGAATGGAGGTCTTTGAATAATTTCGACAGCTGCTTTATTGGATCTATGTTTATCCGTTTACTCGAATTGCATAAAAAGAACGTTTTCGGTTTCGCGAAACAGCTGGAACGAAAGACAGTCTCGAAATTCAGTCAAAGCCTAAAAGCAATTTTGGCAAGAAGCCACACTGTGTCATCACTCGTGCGTTCTACCAAGATTTCTCTCAAACTAAAGGCAAACTTGCTACAGGTAAACATCCACCTGATGGCGTTAAGTGGTTTCAATAATTAGTCTGGTATGTTAATTTTTTTTTCTCCTCAAATTCTTTTTTCTACTTTTTTTTCTTTAGAAAAAATGGGAATTAATTTTTGTTCTAAATAGGCCTCGAGAATCAGTCGATTTAAAAGTTTTTGAAAAAATTTTAATAATTCGAATTCTTCTGAAATTAGTTGCATTTTTTTTAAATGTGTATTTAATTAATTATTAAAAATAATGTAGAAATTTAATTAAAAACACTAAAAAGAAATATTGAATTTTTGAGAAGTTATAAATAATTGCAGAAATTCAATTATTTTCAAAAGTAATAAAATTCTTCGCAGAAATTCAATTATTTTCAAAAATTCTAATTTGCAAAAGAATTGAATTACTTAAGAAATATTTTAATAAAATTCTACGCAAATATTTCATTATTTTCATAAATAATAAAAATTTCATAGGAATTCAATTATTTACAAATTTTTTTATAAATTTATTCGAAATAATTCAATTATTTTCCTAAATAGTATAATTTTTTACACAACAAATTTTAATAAAATTCTTTCAAACAATTCAATTATTTTCAATATCTACTATTTTAATAAAATATTTCTCAAAAGAAATCAAATATTAAAAAAAATGTTTATAAAATTCTTTGCAAACATTCAATTATATTCATAAATAATAAAATTTTCAATGGAATTGAATTATTTAAAACACAATTTTTTATAAAATTTAACAATAAAATTCAATTTTTTCAAAAAGTTTAATAAAATTCTTGTTTTATGAATTCAATTATTTTTATAAATAATAAAATTCTTCTCTCACAAATTCAATTATTTTTAAAATTAATTAAATTGTTCGCAGAAATTCAATTATTTTCAAAAGTATGTAATAAAATTCATAGCAGAAATTCAATTATGTTCCAATATTTTAAAAAAATTGTCGTCAAAATTTCAATTATCTTTATAAATAATAAAATTCTTTTCCGAAATTCAATTCTTTTTAAAATTTTGCTTCGATTAAGTGTTTTTTAATATCTACTATGTTTATTAAATTTTCCAAAACGTTCAATTATTTTAAAAAAATTTTTGATAAAATTTTACTCAAACAATTAATTGTTTTCCTAAATAATAAAAATTTACCCTTATTTGATTATTTACAATTTTTTAAAATAATTTATTCACAATGATTCTATTATTTACATAAATAATAAAATTCTTTTTAGAAATTCAATTATTTTCATAAATAATATTCTTTTTTAAAGTTTTATTAAAATTCGTCGAGAGAATTCAATTATTTAAAAATTTGTTGATAAAATTCTTTATGAAAATTCAATTTCGAAAAACATTCAATTATTCAATAAATTATTTATTTCTGTATTTAAACAATTGAATTCAATTATAGTAAAATGTGACTACTTTTGTAGTTATTTATTTATGTACTAATAATTAGTCATTATTTTCTAATAAAATTAGTCATTATTTACTAATAATTAGTAATTATCTACTAATAATTAGTAATTATCTACTAATTGACGAAGCAAACATTCAGCCACGATTTTATTAATAATTAGTTATTTTTAACTATAATTCATAATTATTTAGAGAGGTAACAAATTGATATAATCTTAGTTTTTATTTATATTTTACTTTCTTAATTTGAATGTAAAGATGTTTTCACCATTTAAAATTTTAGAGAGCAATGCAATTAATTTTTATTCTCACTAATTAATCCTCGTAACGAGAAATTATTTATTTGTGGAATTTAAACATTTTACCTCGTTTACATTATCGAAGAGTTAGTTATTTATTTATGGATTATTATGTATGCAATTCAACGTTCGCTTGCCGTTGCACGTTGTACTAATTCTGATACGAATTTATTAACGTTCAGTAAATCCTCAATAATAATCTGGATATATTTATTTTTTTTTTCGAAAGTGCTTTTTGAATATTTTACATTGATCATGAATTACATTGTCAGAAATGAGAGGTTTTTGTTGTATTTGATAAATTTTATAGCTATGAATAAATGGATAAATTAAATAATAAACATTATTGTGTAGGTATTTTATTTTTTCAATAAATTAAATTCGTTTTTTTTTAAATTGAAAATTTATCATTCAACATTTGTTTTTTTATTTGTAAATTATTATAAAATATTAAACAATTTAAAACGATGATGAATGTTGAAAATAGTGATGGAAATTTTTCAATTAAATTCTCTTGTAATATTAATATAATTCTTCTTTTCTTCTATGTTTCAGGAGGTATTACACACAATTAGTACATCTAGCGGACAAGTTCAGCGCATCGTTATCTTCAAGAAAAATGGCGTTCAGGCCATGGTTGAATATCCTTTACAATACTTAATTAAACTGTCACGTAAAACAATACACCTGGGGTTTTCTGTTTGTAAATATTTTTCCGTGTAAATAGAGTCAAGAATGATTAGGGAGGGGGGAGGGGGGTAAAAGTTCATATATAAAAGTTGACAAAAAAAAGGGCTTCAAAGACTTCCGACTTTAGCGGGGAAACGATTCACTAATGAAGCAGTGGCTGAAACAAGACGGGCTTTATACTTTTTTTTCCCTTCTTTTTTTCATTTTGACCTCGTTCATTCACGCTTAGCGCATTTTTAATGTGAGGAAAAAAAGACGGGGGTGGAAAAAAAAGTTGCCTTTTTTTTTGTTGATAACATCGCGAATCGTTTTGTTATATTCAAAGTGAAAAGAAAAATAACCTCTGGCGCGATAGTAAGCGGAATTTTAAATAACAAAATTCAATTCGAACCATTCACTGATTTACAATTTATATTTTTATATACAACTGTCCGCGTATATGACCCAGGGCGTGAGTTTTAATAATTTGATTTTATCCTGTTATATGGCATATTTTTTTCAGTGATTTTTTTTTTCGTTCGTAGGAAGACTTTTTTTTTGGTGTTATTAAATTTTTATTAATAATACTAAATTTTATTATGCTTGAATTTATTAATTTTTTTTTATGATTCATAAGTTCTGATGGGTGTGATGAATTATTAAATCGTTATTATTTTTTTTTTTTTGTAAAATTACTGAATTTGGATATAGAACGAAGCCAGTAGGTTTCAAATAAATTTTTATGAAAATTATTAACAAATTTTTGGGAACTTTGGGGAATTTTTTTTTTTAGCTGGAGGAAAAAATTTTATATGTTCCTTAACTGTTTGTTTACGTTCGATTCAGTGGAGTCAGCGACGAGAGCGAAAGAAACTCTTCATGGTGCCGACATATATTCAGGATGCTGTACACTGAAAATTGACTTCGCTAAGGTGAGTTTTTCCTATTGAATTTCAATATTTTATATCAACATTTTATTTACCTTTAACCGCTCTACATTAAATATCCCATTAAAAAGATAACAATTGCGCGTATATTTTACACGAATAGATAATGGAAAATCAATTTTCTATTTTTAGCCCCGTTTTTTTCTCTATTTCGGTATTTTTTTTTTTTTTTTCGTAAAGCAACATTAAACATTAAAAAGGAAGTGGCTGTAAAAATTGGTTTTATACGCATTTCTCGGTCACTGATCATGATCACATTTTAATTCAGCCATTTAAAACGAGAGGATTATTTAAATTTGTATTTTTTTCGAAATTGAGAGAGAGAGAGAAGTAGAAATAGTTGGACTCTCGTTTAACAATAATTGATATACGAGAGGAGAAAATTTGCGATGACATAAAATTGAATGAATTTTGTCGAAATAACATTTTTTTTATTATTCTCTCAATTTTGAGAATTTAGAATTTGGAATTTATGCTTTTGAGTATAATTTACATTGGAATAAGGTTATGCCAACGATGGTAATGACCCTTAATATCATGGCGTTATGCATAAGCATCAGTGAGTCTCGCAATAGCGTCGAAAAGACCCAAGGGAGATTGGTAGCATTGGAGCATTATGAACTTAAGTGTTCTTAAGTTTGAACATTGCATGAAAAGGTCGTGTGCCAACGTAATGAAGCACATTGCACACTATATAGAACAATGTTTCACTATTAACGAAATTTCACCGCTAGGTAAATATTTTTAAGCAACTGATTTCAATCTCCAATATATTTTACACACTATTGCACTTAATAATAATTCATCAATATAATTATAATAAGGCAAGGAATTAATTAATTATAATTAGTTACAATTGTTTAATTATAAATTATTTATTTGAAATTATTTAATTACAATTATTTAATTATAATTATCTAATTGAAACTATTAAATAACAGTTATTTCATAAGAATTGTTTAATTGCTATATTGCTATTATAATTGCTACATTCAGTAGAATTTTAGTAAAATTTCTTGAAAGGATTCAATTATTTTTTTAAATTTCTTAGCTATAGAATTCAATTATTTTTCATACAATTTCAATAAATTTTTTTTTAAAGATTTCAATTATTTACAAAATTTTTTTTCAATTTCTCGAAAATATTCAATTATTTTCAAGAATTTTAATAAAATTCTTCAAAAAAAGTTCAATTATTTTTATAAATTAATCAAATTTTTCTCAAGAATTCAATTATTTTCTGTAGAATTTTAATAACATTTCTTGAGAAGATTCAATTATTTTTAAAAGTTTAAAAAATTTCTTCCCTAGAATTCAATTATTTTCAATACAATTTGAATAAATTTTTTTCAAGATTTCAATTAATTACAAAATTGTTTTTTTCGATTCCCCGAAAATATTCAAGTATTTTAAATATTTTACTAAAATTCTTAACAAGAATTTGATTATTTTTGAAAATTAATCAAACTCTTCTCAGGTATTCAATTAATTTCATAAATAATAAAATTCGACGCCGAAATTGAATTATTTTCAAACATTTTAATATAATTCTTGGCAAAGTTTCAATTATCATAAAACATTTTTCCTCAATTCAATGATTTTCAATATCTACTATTTTAATATTGTAATAAAAATTTCACAGAAATTCAAGTATTTACAAGTTTTACATAAATTTCTTGTCAATAATTCAATTATTTTCATAAATAATAAAATTTTTACACGGATTCAATTATTTTTCTAAATAATAAAATTCTTTTTAGGAATTAAATTATTTTAAAAGATAATAAAACTCACCGCAGAATTCCAATTAATTTTAAAACAATTTTAATCAAATTTCTCGAAAAATGTAATCATTCTTTAAAAATTTTTTTAATTTCCTCGAAAAAATTCAATTATTTAAAAATTTGTTGATAAAATTCTTTTTGAGAATTTAATTTTAAGAAAAATTTAATAATAATTTATTTATTTTTGTATTTAAATAATTGAATTCTCCTCGGAATTCTCGTAGAATTTTCTAATAAAAATTGATGTAAATATGAATTTCAGTTTGAATTAAAAATATTTTGTATTTGAATTCAATGTAATTTTTATTGAATCAAACTTATGCAATACATACACTAAAAAAATTTATTTGATTCAAATAACCTATTAATTGACTATTATCAATTAAATATTTATTTAAATCAAATAACATTTATTGGAGTCAATTAAATGGTATTTGCACCAATAATTTCAGTATTTGAAGTAAATATAATTTAATTGACTCCAATAAATATTACTTCATTTAATTAAATATTTAATTGAAAATAGTCAATTAATCGGTTATTTGAATCAAATAATTTTTGTTTTCTGTGTACATTACATGAATTATTATCTTTGTTATACTGTTAACCAAAAATTATTTTTGAATTAAATATAATAATTTTGATTCAATTCAAAAATAAATTTTGGTTAATTGCATAACGAAGATAATTGATTCAAATATATTGTTTTCTCAGTCAACCTAATAAAGTTTAGAATTCTTCTTAATTAATTCAAGTGAAAATAATAATGCCACTTTAAGGCAGGTTTAAAATAATTTAATTACTGTGATAAAAAGTGAATTAAAAAGCGTAATTTAGAAATATTTCTCTGTATAAAAATATAGTTAACGACCATGCGCGCGACAATTGTTGTAAAGCTTAGGAATTTTTCAGGCCCATACACGAAAGCTCGTCTGCAACCTAATGATATGGCTTTAGTTGTAGGACGTGTCGACCTCGTTCCCAAGATCGAGGCGCTTCATTTTCCTCTCCTCCTTTTTTTTTTTAATGTAAAAAAAAAGAAAATTGTTAAACTGGGTCACTCACCTACACTACAATTTGTACCATTTTTTTTTATTTTCGTTGAAATGAATTTCAAGACTATAATTGAAAAATAATAGAATTCTATACTAATTTACAGAAAGAGGTTATTTTTTTTTCTCTCTCTCTCTTTTCATTTGATGCTTATATAAAGCCATGAAATTGCAGTTGAAAAAAAAACTCGAGAACTTTACTGCGCGTCTTTAAATCGTAAAATGATGAGAAAAGAGGAAAAAAATACAAACACGTGTATAGAATCTCTTTAAAAAAAAATTGCGGGTTAAAATATAATCTGAATTATTTTTTTTTATATTTATTAGAAAGAGAAATAAAATTCTGATAGAACGAGAGAGAGAAAGAGAAAAAAAATTGTGGAATTGTGTAAAGTTAAAAGGGGTTGATTTAGTGGATAAATTGCTCGTGATATTGAATGCTTGCAATAAGCTGTTAATTAAGTTACAATCTGAAAATGAAGGAAGAGAGTGGTAGTGAAAGAATATGTGTATTATATACATATATATAGTGTACTGCGCATGGAAAAGTGCACTTGAAAACTGTATGACGAGCAATTAAACGAAAGGAGTCTAGTACTCGCGGGGAAGTACTTAATTATTTTATTGTGCCCTCCAATTCCGCGGTTGTTTTAGAGGTTTTTCAAAAATGAAAACTCGACATTTCGTCGAGAAGAACTTGAGCTTATGTGTATGGTATACTGAGCGCATATTTTTAAATTGAATACTTTCAAAGTAAATCGTTTTCGTTTTCTTTTTTCTGTTTTTCTTTAAAAAAAAAAAAAGATTCTATTTAGAAGCCACGAATACGGGGTTAAGTTAAAATTTTTTAATTTTTATGTTTCTAGAGTTATAATAATTATATTTACAATAATTAAAATCCGTAATTTGTTTGAGAAAAGACGAAACGTTCGTAAATTGCACGATATAATTTGGAGACTTTTAAAGAAATTACAAATAATTGCAGAAATTCAATTATTTTCAAAAGTAATAAAATTCTTCTCCGAAGTTCAATTATTTTTGAAATTTTTAATAAAATTCTTCCCAAGAATTCGGTTATTTTTATAAATAATAAAATTCTTCTGAGAAATTCAATTATTTTCAAAATTAATGAAATTCTTCGCAGAAATTCAATTATATTCAAAAATATTTTTAAATTCTTGTCAAAATTTCAATTATCTTTGGAAATAATTGAATTCTTCTCCGAAATTCAAGTATGTTAAAAAATTATTAAAAATTCTCGTCAAAAATTTAATTATCTTTATAAATAATAAAATTCTTGTCAAAAATTTAATTATTTTCGAAATTTTTAATAAAATTCTTCCCAAGAATTCGGCTATTTTTATAAATAATAAAATTCTTCTGAGAAATTCAATTTTTAAAAAAGTTTTTTAATAAAATTCTTCACAGAAATTTAATTATTTTTAAAAATAATAATAATATTCTGCGCAAAAATTAAATATTGTTCAAAAATAATAAAATTTTTCTTAGGGATTCAATTATTTTTACAAATATGAAAACTCATCGCAGAATTTCAATTATTTTTAATACAATTTTGATCGAATTTCTCGTCAAATTTAATTATTCTCGAAAATTTTATTAAAATTTGTCGAAAGAATTCAATTATTTAAATATTTATTGATAAAATTATTTATTAGAATTCAATTTTAAGAAGCATTCAATTATTCAATAAATTGTTTTTTTATTTAAATAATTGAATTTTCGTAGAATTTTCTAATATGTTTATCATCTATGACTAAAAAAATAAAAAATAATTTTGAAGCGGAAAGGAATAAAAATTTTTCCATCTATAGACATTTTTTTTCATGTTATTTGTCAAGAAACTGGGTGAAATAATTTTCTAACGAAAAAATTGAAGTGGAAACATATTTTTTCTTAATCGTCGATTACAAACGTTGGCGAAATTTACTAGCGTGTAACGTTTGGAACTTACGGATCAGTGGTTTTTAATTGATATCATTTTCTCAATATTTATGACTGCCATTGTTTTGTAACTACCGTTAATTGAAGTTGCATGTCAAAGTCATGAACTGTAAATTTTAAAACTACCATTAATTGAAGTTACTTTCGAAAGTTAGTCTCTAAACTACGAAGTAGTAGCATCTTCTAG